CAGGTAAACATTCGGTCTGGTGAGGCCGTCGCAGCCAATGGGGAGCGGGCGGCCCATATGACGTCCGGGACACACCACCCGCCTTCCCTCCTGACAGTTACGAACGGCAGGGGCGGGAGCGCGCCGGCAGCTACGCCGCGTTGAGTGTGGCGGGCATCGGCTGGCCCTACGGGTGGCTGGCCTGTGGGAAGGGCGGGAGCCTCGCCTCGCGGCCGAGGGACAAGCCAGCAACGGGAGCGCGGACGTGCCGAGCCGCCACGCAGTCAGACCCCGGCGGCGTGCCCGCCTCCCTGCTTGCCCGCCTTCGGGGCAGGCCTCTTGTACGGGCGGGGCTCCGCCAGCGTGGCCTGCGGTCTGCGTCGGCCGCGGACCACACCCGCGAGGCGCACGGGCGGCTGCAGCGCGGTGTCCCGACCTCTGCGCGCCGGCGGACGGAGCCGGCCTGCTGCGCTGCCGCGCAAAGTATGACGCTCGGGGCCAGAGCAAAACCAGAAGGGCGATGGAGACGCTGGAGCATTAGCAAAGGGCTTACTGGCTGAGAGAGCGACTCGTGTATACAGCCCCCACACATAACCTCATGTAGCCTTTGAGTCACTTCGTTAAGCAATTTGGATTCATTATTAACCTGGCTCTTAGATAGGGGCCCACTGATAAGCTTTCCTAGTCACCTTCACTTTGACATCAAGAAAGAGGCCAGGTGTGCCTTTAATCTGCCCTTGCCATTTTTTTTTTTTAGTTTGTTTGGTTTTCCTCTCAAAATCCTGTGGTCACGTCGGATTATGACTTCCAATTTCTGATTAAGGCCCTTGTGCGCCTTCGTGAGGTTCTTAATGTTTATTCATTTCTAAAATGAATGAATGCATTCTGTAATGAGAGCTGTCCCAGTCTGTAGACTTTAAAAAAATTTATCAAACAGTATCTTTAATAGCACATTCAAGTAAAATATTGCTGAATAGTATTTTAAAAAAAAACAAAAAACTGAATAGAACAGTATATCAATAGAGAATTACCAGAGATTCAGGCTGGATTTAGAAGAGGTCATGTCACCAGGAATATCATTGCTGATATCAGGTAGATGTTGGTTGAAAGCTAGGAGTACCAGAAAGATGTCTGTTTGTGCTTTATTTACTACGCAAAGGCATTTGTATGGATAATAACAAATTGTGCTAACACTGAGAAGAATGGGAATCTCAGAACACATAATTGTGCTCATGTGAAACCTATACCTGAACCAGGAAACTGTTGTGTGACTAGAGCCAGGGAACATCGCATAGTTTAAAATCAAGATAGCTATTCATCAGGACTACATCTTCTCTCCATACCTGCTTAATCTCTATACTAAAAAAATTATTCCAGAGCTGAATTTTATGAAGAAGAGTGTAGCATTTAGGATCAGAGGAAGACTCATCAACAATCTGAGTTATGTGGTCGCAGTTTAGGACTTTTTAATTTGCCCCCCCTTTTTTTTTGTGACTTTCATAGTTTTAGGTTTTATGTCTAAGTCCTCAATGCATCTTAAATTCTTTTTTGTATATGGTATAAGGATATGTTCAAATATATTTCCAATTTAACCAACTCAGTTAAAGAAGCTATCTTTCTCCCTACTTAATGTATTTCAACTCTCTTGAAAGATGAGTATGTTGTTGTTGTTGTTGTTAAGCGCTGTTGACTATGACTCAGTGACTTTATGAACAATGAATTTGAACATGCCCTATCCTGTACCATCATTATCATCTCTGATCTACTTGAGCCCATGATTACAGCCACTGTGTCACTCGATGTTGCTGATGTCCTCCTCTCTTTCATTGACCCTCCTGTGATATTTATTTATTTATTTATTGATTTATTTTAGCAAAGCCTTTGGAATTTATTTTTGTGAGTTGTTTTGGGTTTTGCACACTATAATTGCTTTCACTCTTTTTTTAAAATTAAAATATATGTATTCTCAGTATTTTTTTATTACCATGGGAAAGTCTGCTGTTAGGGACCTCTCCAAAGTACTGAAGAGCAATGGTGTCTCTCTGGAGACTAAGGTGCGTTTGATACAGGCCATGGTCTT